AAAAAAACATTTTGAAGTAAAATATATAGTTAATAAATATAGAGTTAATAAAATATAGTTATTTGTTAGAAATAAGAATATAAATAAATGGTGGATTCTTTTATTTGTAGTATGTAATAGGATAAAAAGTTTGAAATAAATTTGTATTTAATAATTATTTATATTTGATAAAAAAAATTAAAATACTATTTTGAAAATTTGATAACAATAATTTTCTTTTTGTTCAACAGTAATGCTTATTTAGTGTAAGAAAGTGAAGGATTTATAAAAATTTAATATAAGTTATTTAATGTAAGAAAGTGAAGTTTTTATAAAAATTTAATAATAATAAATATATATATGTGCCACATGACATGTGGGGAGGTGTAGTGCCTCCATGACATAAACATTTTATGCAAAATTAATGGTCATCAAATAAAATAATAATGAAAATTGTTTTAATTAATAAAAATTAATATAAAAATCTCGAATGGATCAATTAAGGAATGTCACATCATTAGATAATGCATATTTGTATGTGCCACATGTAATCCTTCAATTAAATTTTTACTTTGTTTAGTTTGCTGAAAAAAATATAGTAAAATAAGCAATGTATCAAGAAAAACAACTAAAATATGTTATGAATTTAATAAAGATGCACGTGTGATAAAATTTATATGTAATTAGTTTTTTTTTGATATGATGGATAATTTTAAAAATTATAAGCAACATCTTTTTAATCATTAAATTATATACATAAGTTTTCTAAAATTATAAAATAATCGTGCATATATTTTTAAGATACGTCAAAACAATAAATTGGTTTTAACATAGTCAGAAAGTGAAGAGCTTATAAAAAGTTAATAAAAATAATAGTTTTTTATTGTTGGAAAGTGAAGAGTTTATAAAAAATAAAAATACGAATTATTTAATACAAAATTAACTCACATGCATGGATGGACGTACATGTGTCAGGTGATATACGCGTGGCGGGACACGTGTCATTAGTATGCACGTGTGGCATGACACGTGTCGTCACCACAACTTTGAAACCCTCTTTTACATATATATATATATATATATATAGGATACTCATTGTCGATGAAAAGTGTTATAGGTTTTGAAAAACTTTTTTGTAAACTACATGTGTAGTTTGGTTGACAGTGCAACGTCTTCATTGCAAATCAAGATTTAACCCTTTGCGAATTGTGACACGTGAAAATGCCACATAAATTTAAGGGAGAAATACGAATATAGCACTTTAATAGGCTTATAATACGCAAAATAGCAGTGCTATAAGTTTTTTAAATGAATTCCCAATATTGCCCTTAATTAAACAAATTTGTATTTTACTCAATTAGGTTAAAAAATAGTAATTGGCCGCTGACCTCACGGCATTTGAACGCAGCACAGGTTCACGACCTTGAAGGCGGCAGTGCTTCACGCAAGATTACCGCAAAACACACGGCCTTGAAGGCAGCAGTTTCGAGAAGGGAGATGCAGTGCTAGGGTTTCAATGGCAAACGATGATGCGCTGGACGAGATTCCTCTAAGCAAACGAATGGAGAAGATACAGGTATGCTTCGTTTTGGCAGTGAATTCGTTACTTTGGCATAGTTGTAAGGTTGGTAGTACTTTGGCATACTAGTTATTTTATCGGCATTACATTTGTTTAATTTGGCAGTGAATTGGTAGATTCGGCATTAGATTTGGCTTGTTTTTGGTTTCACAATAGTCATGGCGCACCGTTTAGGGTTTGTGTTATGTACTGTGTAATTGTTTGGCAAAAAAATAATGAAGAACCACTGCCAATGAATTCAATAGGGATGCCTTGACCAATGCTAGAGAAGAACATCATTGCCTAGAGCGTGAAGAAACACTGGAATGAATTTTTTGTGGTTTTAGCAAAGATTTTTTTCCTTAGGCAGTGTGGTTTTTTGTTTTTAAAGCTTGGCAGTGTGTTTTTTTGAAACGTAATGATTTTTTTGTGGTTTTTTAAAACTGTTTAGGTTTTTTTATGAATGTTGAGCGTAATTTTTTTTTTTGGGTTTTATGTATCTCGGCAGTGTGTTTTTGGGGTTTTTTGTTCTCCACTGAAACATACTTATTTTTTTTGGGTTTTTGTTTCTTGGCTGTGTGTTTTTTTAGTTTTGTTTTACCTAAGGCAATGAGTTTTTTTGGTGAATGTTGGCAGTGGTTTAAGTTGTTGTTGGCAGCGTGTTTTTTGTGAATTGTGGCAGTGGGTTCAAAGAAGAATATGCGGTAGTTAAGTATTATGATTTAGTGAGATGATTTTACCTTTGTTGAATATGTAAATAGTACCCAATGTTTACTAACTTTGAAATACGTATACATATGCAGGTGTAATTGTGGTATGTTTGTGGTGAAATTTGCGGAGTTCTAATGATGGATTTAGACATACCAGAAGTGCAGTCATGTGACATGGAAACTTACTGGGTTTAAATGACAACAAAACTTTTAGCTTATAACTATGAAAGAAAGGCAGAATCCAGGAAGCAATAGATTTTTCTCTGTTATGTTGGATAATTTAATCTTCGTATGACAGTTGTTTGGTGTTTTTGTTTTTTGTTATTCATGACAGTTTTTTTAGTAATAATTTATACGTGTTTAATTTATAAGTGATTTGAGAAGTGAATTAGTGGAGAGTTTTATACAAGTGCTTATCATTGATTTGGCTTTATTTGGAGCATACATTGAAATATGTTGTCACTTTAAAGAGTTTGTATGGAGCATACATTGCAACATTTCATAGCACACTGACCAAAATATTAGACAAAATACATTGCCAAAAGTTATACGCAGATCACGACCATTTCACACTTACAAAAAACTTTAAGCTTACACTGCATATCCACTTTATATGGAACTCAATGAAAAATATATGATAGTGAGATTTTTCTATATAGATCACTTTTGACGAAAAGACACTAGCGAAACTTGGTCATAGGACACTGCCAAAAAGTGTTGAAAGACGTTGGCATGCCCAATACATCGCCACAATATATACACTGCCACAATATATCTACACTGCCATAATATATACACTGCCATAATGTTAGCCACAATATGTACTTCCAAAAATTCAATGTCTGGAATAAACTGCCACAATATATGCACTGTCAAAAATTCAAAGTCTGAAATACAATGCCACAATATATCAATACTGCCATAATTCAGGCAATCACAGAGCATACTTCTCATAGTTTCTAAAAAAATATTTTAGTTTGTTTATGAAGAAAATTAAATAAATATACTTTATGAACAAGGATTCTGAGATTTTTGAGCAAATTCGTGCTGATAACGTGTTGTAAAATGAGAGAAAAACTACTCAGAGATTAAGAGAATAGATATAATATAATACACTGCCACAATATATACACTGCCACAATATATACACTATCACAATATATCTACACTGCCACAATATATACATTGTCATAATGTTAGCCACGATATGTACTTCCAAAAATTCAATGTCTGAAATACACTGCCACAATATATGCACTGCAAAAAATTCAATGTCTGAAATACAATGCCACAATATATACACTGCCACAATATAACTACACTGCCACAATATATCTACACTGCCATAATATAAAGCTTCCATGAGTATCCCATGTCCCATCAACACGTAGCAATATCGTCAAATTTGAACCCATCTGTGATGCTCCTTTTAAATAATAAAAGAGAAAATATTCAATTAAATTAAATAAAGGAATGAACTCAAAGAATAGACGTATAACCTAATATGCGATGAAAATGTTGGATTTAATGGAGGTGGTGAATACAAAAACACATCGTATATATATACATGATAGGCGTTTTAGTCAGATTGCGAACTTCAAAATCTTAATATTTTATATTAAGATTTTTTTTCTTTCTTTTTTGGGAGTACATATCTACTTAATTGGCATATATGGCATCTGCCAACTATACATGTAAACACTTTGAATAGTATTATTTCTCTACTAGATTTGCTATTCTCAGCAAGAAAAAAAACGAGTATATGCCAAAATGGAAAAAAAATTGTAAGGCACAAAGAAGTCCAGTATAAAGCTAAAACTAAAGAAAACTTTCCCTGCCATCTCTCTCTCTAGTAATGAGAAAACAAAGTCTTCTTTATCAAAGCATCAATAAATATATATAAAAAAATATACTGCTTCCTCAAATTAATTCGGCATCTGAACTGTCTTTTCTTAATTTAATTCTTGTGCAGCTCTTTACCATAACACATACTACTTCTACCGCAAATTAATTCTTAAGCTTAATGATACAGTCAAGCACACCAGAAACATAGGCATTCAACATGTTCAAAGGGCCAAATACTTGGTATTTCAAAACAACACCTAAACATCACACTGCCAACTACAATTCAATAAACATTGGCTGTGTGAAATCGAAATAAGTGAAAGACATTACCGCTGCTGTGTTTAGCATAATTATTAAAACAACAATTAATAGTGTCAAAGAAAAACCTGAATATGGTACAAAGCAAAAGTCGGGGTAGTGGATTCGCCTTCGCCCAAAACAACAATTAAAAAAAAATACATGTAAATCGAAGAAAGAACCTGATTTATCCATTGCTTAGAGAGATGTGGTGATGATGATCGTCGCTGCTAATCGGCGAAGGAATCGCTGGTAATGGAGTGAAAACATAGACGAAGGAGACCCGCGTAGGTGGAGGCGCACGAGATCGGTAATTGAATTCCTTCAATAACCTAATTTTAATGGAAAAAAATAAAAAGGGATAAAGGGTATGATAGGAAGGGTTTGACACCATAAATAACTAAGTTTGTAAAAAACAATGGATAGTGCTAAATGCGTATTTTTGGGTGAGTTAGAGTGCTATGTAGGGTGATTTATTTAAATTTAACCATGACTGAATATTGATTTCATGAGGGACATGCAACAATAATTGCCCTTAACTTTTGTTAATCGTCATTGCATATGAAGTCACAATTATGAATTGTTTCCTTTGAAACTTAAACACTATGTTTGGTTCAAGGAATTAGGAAGGAAAAGAAAATGTTTTGCTCTCATTTTCCTCACCCAAAATGGGATAAATTAGGTTTTGCCTCCACTTAGTGCATTTTGCCTACTCATTTTCTTTTCCTTCCATTTTTTCATTCTTTTTCTCTCTAACCAAACAAAAAAATTATTCTCCACTTCATTTTCTTTTCTTTTCCCTTCCTAATTCCTTAAACCAAACCTAGTAAAAAGGAATTCTTGTATCTGATGGTGTAAGCGACATCCGTGGGATAACAACTTTCTGACCAATTTTCTTCCCTGTCAGCATTGTCCTTTGAATAAGATGATTGTCCAATTGAGTTACTATCAATCTTGTTCTTTTGTAGAAACATGTTGATTGGTCAATATTCCTCAACAACATGATGAGTGTTCATATCTTTAACTTTAGTTCATGCTACACCAGAAGCTCGTATGTTGTTTAGAAATTTAGGAGAATACAGTCTGTTAAAAATCTGCATATGAATAAGATGTACACTACAACATCCAACACACATAACCCATCGTCATAGCCATAGCAATTCGAGCTTCCTCACTTGGTTTCTCTCCGTTTTGATCTTGGATTCGTGTTCTTCACCCCTTGGCGAACACATCCATAGCTGGAATCCTTCGCCCATGCTCTAGCCTGGGAGTGGTGTGCGTTGACCTACTTCCGATTTTGTTCATCTTCTTCCCGATGACTTCTCCTACCTATTCCTGAATTTCTCTGCTTCCATGGGGTCTAGTAAAACCCAGAGTGGGAAGAAGCCTAAGAAGAAGAGTCCTAAGGAGAAAAGGAGAGGAGATGAACACTCGAAGCAACCTAGTGTTGGTACGGATTTTGCTGTGGAATTGAGAGGAAAGGAGAAGGGACCTACTGCCTCCTCAACCTCTGAGACATCACCTCCCCTTGTAGAGGAAGTTGCGGAAGTCATTGCTCCTGTACTACAAACTGAAGCACGCAAGCTGCTCGACGAAATGCCACAACCAGATTCTGCTTCTGCCAAACCAGTGACATTTGCTGACTTGTTTAAGGGTAATAGGGACCCTGACCAAGGTATGATTTTAAAGCAATATGATGTTGGCGAAGGTGTCCTTCGCATTCCTGATAGTATTATCAAACCTGTTGAAGATATTTGGGGCTATTGTCTAGTGGGGTGTTTCACTGGACGCTTCCCTGGCCTCAAAGCTGTGGATGCTATTGTTAAGAGTTGGAACATTCCCTGTAGAATTATTCCTCATTGCAAGGGATAAGTTGTGCTTAAATTTGAAACTGATAAAGATAGGTATGAGGTGCTGGGCAGGGAGAGGAGCAAGGCATATGGTAAGGAGTTCAGACTAAAAATTCCCTCACATGGTTTCATGTTTGATTTTTCTGAGTTCACAACCTTACCTGTCTGGATCCAACTTCACAACTTCCCTATGCAAATGTGGTCAGAGGAGGGTATTGGTATGCTGGCTTCAAAGGTGGGAAAACCCCTACGTACGGACTTGGTTACTAAACAGCTTGGTAAGAGTGGGTTTTGTAGGGTTCTTGTGGAAGTGGACTTTTCTAAAGAACCTGTGACTAGCCTTGAGGTGGAATGCATGTCCAAATCCTATATTCAAATTGTGGAATTTGAGGAAGATCCTAAGTATTGCTACCACTGTCAAACTTGGAACCATGGGCCTTTCTTTTGTAAGGTACTGGAACAAAAGAAAAATAAGGAACTAGAGGTTATCCACGCTAATCTTTTGGAGACAGCTAACAAGGAGAAGGCCCCGCCTAGAGAATGGGTTCCTACTGGAAAGAACAACGGCAGTGGAGGGTATACTGAGCCAAAAGGGGGAAATGTTCCTTCCTCTTCTAACACTGCCAAGGTACTAGATGTGCCACATGTGGCTGGAGTTGGTGTTCTGACCAAGATTCCTGGGAAACAAACTCATGATGGGGCTGTTATGGGTAATACAAAGAAGAAGGGGAATGATGCTAATTTGGTTGGGAGGAAACATGATGCTTTGAAGGGAGGCAAGGGGCCAGGCCCACCTCATTGATGAAGATTCTCTGTTGGAATATTAGAGGACTTAATAGGTCCTCTAAACAAAACTTTTTGTGTAAATATCTTTTGGAGCTTGGTGTCCATTTTGTCTGCATTCTCGAAACTAAACTTACAGAAGCCAAGTTAGAGGTGTTTGTGAGTGCCAAACTACCTGGTTGGAAATATGCCACT